AACAGTTCTCTTTCTGCTTTATTGTTTGAATTGAGGAAAGCTGCTTGGGCAAGCCAATTCATTCATTATTTTTGTGGGAATTCCCTCTCTGAATTGCGATTGTGGGAGACTTGCGCAGACTGGCAGCAAGCACGTTCAGGTGGATGAGCTGTGTATAGTCAGAATGTGTAAAGCGTCTCATTTTTCCGCCAAAGTTTCCACTTAAAAGACGTCAACGAAGTGATGTAATAAAACGTATAATGATGATATGTGAAGTTTATAACGACATCGGTGAAGTTTCGTGAGGAAAGACAGGGGAATAGGACAGTAATGAAAAATGAGGGAAAAAGGTGATGGGGAAAAGTTCTTTAATGAGGAACTCCGGTACTCGGGTAGAAAAGTCCCCCAAAACAGCGGTATGAACTGGTTTTCTACCAACGGCAGCAGCCACTCACCGGTTGATATGACGAAGTAAACTTTCACGAAGTGTTACGCGCGTGCGACCGAAGAAAATGGATGCGATTCGGGTCCCGGCTGGCGCTCCTCCTGTACCCCCAATATTTCACCCCAATTAAATTATTACCATGCAGTACACTATAAATTATTGTTAAACTGCCCGGATCGTGCCACTCGTCCACTGATAGCAGCAGTGCGTGGGACACCGACCCCCCTCCCACCGTTGTCGCGTATCAGCTACATCTTGCGATATTGAGAAATAGCCATCGCCCCTCTTCTGGTCGCTGCTCAGCCCCGCCGCTCGCGATTGCTCACTCTAGTGCTTCAGTTTAGTCGTCTTGAACGCGCTTTGTTCTGTTTTGTTTGAAATTTAGTGGCAGTCAATAAAATTTGGTTCCCTTGTATTACCAAAAGTTTTCAAGGAGTTTAGGGATTCCTCCGCATGGAACCAAGGCCGAAAACGAATATGTTTTTATTAAAAAAGAGCGTTCAGAGTTGAATTCTGCATTACACTTGTCATCTGCATGAGTCTGCGCCTTGAGTTCCGCCCTACACAACTCCAGTTCGCTTGTCAGAATGATGAATATTTGCCCTTCAGAATGATGCGTATTTGCTTATCAGGATGTTTAGTGCTACAAGAGCCGCCCACTGCATCTCTTGCACGACTAATTGTATTAAATGCTAGCTCAGGAATCAGAAGACAAGAAAAATATCAGCAAATTTCGGTACTGACCAGCAGACATGGTGTTATTTTTTGTAGATCTTTTTATGCACATAATATGCAAATTCTGTCCTCCGCTTGACTAAATGCCCTTCACTCAAGCAAGTCGCGCCCATAGGCGACGACCAGTGATCGATTGAGTGACAGTACATGCATGGTTGCCACCGAGGGTGTATCGTAAATGCACCTCCCAATCCAAGAGGCACATCATTAACCGTTTCTTGCGACTACACGTTATCTACATTTTCTTGCGCATTTACGATCTTCTGAATCAGTCCCTCCTGCGCCGCTCACTCTTCGCATTTCACCCTTCC